GTTTAACTCTTGTTATCATATATTCCCTTCCTATCCTATTTAGATATTTGACATCACAGATCTACATCAAAAAACCCAAATTTCTTATTACCTAAGAATACTTTCCTCTAATTCAAATCCCTTTTCACACAAATCTTTTACCATAATTTCCTATTCCCTAAAAGACCTATGCCCTTTCACATCTTCCAACCTGTTATTTTTTCAAGACCTGCTTGTGTGATTTCACCTAGCTACTTGGTCTATAAACTCCTTTCTCTCTAGACAAAATTACAACTGATTCTTCTGTATATCTGTTCTTTTGGATGTATTTCTATTGTAACATATAAAAATATTCATTGAATTTGCACTCGGTGGAAAACAATGATACTTTATCAGTGTTGAGTAGATAATATTGACTGATGCTATAATTAGTTGTATTGAAGGAGAGAATAAAAAGATTGTTAGTGGAAGAAAAATAAGCTATGGCAATAAATTTTTAATTTTTAAGTAGATCAACATGATCTTCCAAAAAGTCAAATATAATACGGAGAGAATTAGTTTGGTTTTTGTTACTATAATCAAACATCTGAGGCCAGCCTATGAGTTTCATTTTTGGCTCCTGGTTCTGGAAATGTAAAGGCATGGTTTTGGGGAAGGGGTAGCCATCTGGTGAAGGATTTCTTAATAGCAGAGTCCCAAAGTAGCTTAAGGCACTGCATAGTAAGACATGGGGGGGGGCATGCATGTTTCTTTAGTCTCTCTTATTTTTTTTTTAATTTAAAGAGAGAAGGAAAAAAAAGGACATAAAAAAAAAAACAATGCAGTAAAAGGGTACAAATAATACAGTATTTCTAGAAAAATATATATACAGTACGAAATCACCAGTTAACAGGCTACACATTATCTTCCCAGAAACAGTTGTCCATATCACTAAATTAAAGCATATAAAGTGAACATTCATACAGTGGAATTGGAGACAGTTCCGTTCAATGATCCAACAAAAGCTCAGTTATATGGTTTTCCGTCCTACACTCTCGAACATACCTGCGGTTATATCCCTTAGTTCACCTTACTTTCCTCTCTTTTTTACAGTAACAATTAGACTTTTAGGGTTTTATTACTCTCACGGTTCTTATTACTTTTTTGAAGAGAATAAAAACAAATGTGACTAAGCTTTAGTCTCTTTTCCTCTGCTCATAAAACAACCAGGATCTAATCAGTTTAAGCCAAGTCATTTTTCAAAGGTCCCAACTTTACATATCACAGTAGGATTCAGTTTCTGCCCTCTTAATTTCTCACAGTGGAGATTAAATTTCAATGCATCAAGAATCAGGGGACACTCAAGTACCTGAACCATAGCAAAAATGTAGAATTATTGTCTAAATTATGTACATACAAAAAAAGAGAAGTCAACATAGAGAACTGTGCATGACCCATGACTAGCTACTTCAATCCTAAGGTTCAATATCATAGTAAAATGAGAAAAATAATCACTAAAAAATAAGAAAATCAAGAAAGTCAGCAACTATTTGTGAAACAAGAAAATTGGAAATCACTTAAGGAAGATTTCTAAAACTAAAAGTAGAAGTCAAAATGTTTCAAATTTGGTACTATTTATTAACTAGTATAAAGAGCCAACTACATGTTTACAGAAATCAATTTATCAAGTCCTCATAAAAGAAAACTCAGCAGGGTACACAGTAAATGAACAAAACAAAACAAGGATGACCCTAAAATATAAGCAACAGACAATAGCAGAGCTGGAAAATACTGCCTATAGCCCAAGGAAGATCGATTTTAACATAGTGCATAAGAGAAGAATGCCATTTTTAAACTGGTATTTTGGCATATTTAAATTGTTTGAAAGAAAAAATCAAAAGACTATATCATGACAAGACAATATTACAGAAAATTCGGTTATTATTAAGGCATTATTGAAATTCTGTCATGCTCATTTATTTACTTACTGACTAATGCTGCTTTCACATTACTGTGGCAGAAGTAAGCACAGGCAACACAGATCTTTAGAGCTGAAAGCCTAAGGCGTTTATTATAATGTCCCTTTACACTTACGGTCTAGAGAGCCACAAAGTTTGAATTTGAATGGCAGCTCCAGCTTTCCTTAGTGTTTACTATGTGGTAGTATGTGCCTATGTTCCAGCCACTCAGAATTGCTGACAGAGGATTACTTAATCCTAGGAGTTGATGGCCTGGGCATCACAGGAAAATCCTTAGGAATAAGAAATAGAATCTTTCCTTGTAAAGAGCCTGTGAACCCTGCTGAGTTGAAAACAAAGGACTAGAAATACTGTAGTATAAAAACTTAGCAGATAAAGCTAAGTTTGAGAGGATCAACTCCAAGTTTGAAAGTTCATGTTGTAGCATGGGATGCTATTTTGATAACTAAAATGCAACTGACACAGTAAACTTCACTGTTACATCATGTTAAGCAACTGCCATGGCCACCTCACCTTCAGCAGCCACCAGTCAGCAGTCATGGGGACAGGACCCTGGCAGCAAAGAGTATGACTCCCTGAAGGCTAAGATGATCAATGATACTTTTCAGCTATAAAGTACTTTAATAAGGGTGTATATATTTTTATATATAATGCTATTGCATACTTAGTATAATATAACCAGAACTTTTACATACACAGGTAAAACAAAAGATATAAGTGACTTGCCCTATTGCAATATTTGTGGTGGTCTAGAACTAAGGTACAATTATCTCCCAGATACGCCTGTATTATTAACAGTGAACATGTGTACAACTAAGTGACAGGGATTGTTTCTCAAGTGCCCTTGAGAAACGATCTACTTTTATTATTTGTTTTAGAAATAAAGAAACTAGAGGTACTGAAAGGTTAAGTAACTTTCTTAGGTTACATCTTCAAGTTCTAGTTACTTATTTCCAGTTATCTTACTATTTCCCCTGGATCTACTTTATTTCATTCATGTTTTGAAACTTTTAAAGTCATACATGTCAGTGAGAATCAACTTACTCCAAATCTCTATTACTCTCTATTACTATTGGTACAGTATTTTGAACTCTTTCTTGGAATTGCAAATGTTCTGAATGGCATCCAAAATGGTGAACCCTTTCAAGGTTTTCAATTTACTTTGCCCAGATCCATGAGTGAGATCACCACATAAGGCAGCTCAGGAACAACCTTAGAAAATAAATTTATTCAATAATAAGCCTTCAAAATCTAAATTACTCCTTGAGCCTTGGGCTGTACAAAGGATGTTAAGTTAGCAGGCATGAAAGCATAATCTCAGTATACAGAAATCTCTTGTAGTCAGGTACATTGACATTGAGCAGTATCATTTTGAATCAGCAGCAGGCTTAAAATGTTCAAGTCATGCAATAAACAGATAAGCTGCTATCATCCAAGTATAGTAAGTGCTCAATTCATGAGTAAGTTCTGTTCTGGGAGAATTGTTCCTAAGTTGATTTGTAAGCCAACAAAGTGAGCCTTACACAGTAAACCTATGAAAGTTAGCAACTCAAATGTCCTTATATTGTGGACTTACTAAGATGTAATTCCACTCAGTGAGAACACAGGCAGCACAGATTCAGCATAATCCTTAAGGACCCTAGAGTTTTCAGAATCGCATATGACCTTCAATGTAGGCATGAAGGGCATTATCCCTTCATAATCATAGCCTGTCCTTTGAAGCTTTGAGGTCTGTCAATGACTTCTTTTCTCTAGATATCACAGTCCTAGATAGCAACTTCTCCTAAAAGCCTACTTATTTACACTGAAAATCTGTTTAGTTTAGGCACCACTATAATTTGCCTCGTAAATATTTCCCCAAAGGCTCATGAAAGAGATGGTTCTAGCTGTAGTACTATTGGGAGGTAGTCAAAATTCTTAAAAGTTGAAGCCAGCAGGAGATCTTAAAACACTGGGGGCATGTTCTTAAAGGGGATGACACTTTTGTCTGCCTCTTGGGATGAGGCACACATTTTCCTCTGTCATGCAGTTGGCACCTTATATACTACTGCCTGGCCATGGGCCCAAAAGCAATGGACCAACTGGACTAAAACCAAAACTATTAGACAGAATAATTCTTCCTTTTTAAAATTATTATTTTGGATATTTTGTTACTATAACAGAAGACTCACACAGTTACTTTCTTCAGTTATCTCAGATCTTCTGGGTAACTTGCTGGAGCTTCTACATAAGCACTTGCTTCACTTCAAATTTTATGTTATGAAGAAAGCTTCCTTCCTTCAACCGCATGAACCAATCTCTACTAGTGTCAGTCTTTTCTTCTGCAGCTTCCAAACTTCTCTGAGCTGTTAGAGAATTGAAGATGTTGCATCTTTCTCTGGATTAGGCTTTGGCTTAGGAGAAAGCTGTAGCTCTTTTATTTCTATACAGGCCATTAAAACATTCTCTGTATAAGTCTCACTTTCTTGTCATTCAAGTGCTCCCTGGAGAAGTACTTTTAATTTCTTTTAAGAACTTTTCCTTTGCATTTATAACTTTACAAACTGGAGCAAGAGGACTAGCTCATCTTGGTTTTTTTTTTCCTACTGAGTTTTAGCATTTCTATCTTATGATTTAAAGTGAGAGGTGGGACAGTTCCTTATACTTGAATACTTAAGAGACCACTGTAAGTTTATTACTTGGCTTAGTTTCAATATTATTGTCTCAGGGATAAGGGAGGGAACAGCCAGTTTGTAGGGAAGTCAGAATACACACATTTTTGAAGTTTATATAATATGGATATAGTTCCTAATGCCCCCAAACAGTTTTTATAGTAACATCAGAGATCACTGATCAAAGGTCAGCATAATAAATGTAATAGTATTGCAAAAAGCTTAAAATATTCTTAGAATTATCAAAATGTGACAGAGTACACACTTTTGGAAAAATGATACTTATAGACTTGCTTGATGCCACAAAACTTCAGTTCACTTTTAAAAAATAGTATCTGTAAAGCACAGCAAAATGAGGTATGCCTATATAGCACAACTATTATTACTATTGACATTATTATCTTTCTTTCAGCACTCCATAAGAAAACAAGATCTTCAGAGTTTTGTTTTTTTCAACTATGCATGTGTCAGTGTGAAAATATAACAGTTTTTACCCACAAACTGGGAAAAGATTTTAGTGAACTCTCTCTCAGACAAGGGCCTCTTGTCTAAAACATACAAAGAATTAAAGAAACTCAGACCTCCGAAATTCAAAGATCCAATCCAAAAATGGGCATCTGAGATGAATATGCAATTCTCAGATGAAGAAATGCAAATGGCAAATAAATACATGAAAAAATGCTCATCATCATTGGTCATTAGAGAAATGCAAATTAAAACCACACTGAGATACCATCTCACTCCTGAAAGAATGGCCAGGATCAAGAAAACCGACAACAAATGCTGGAGAGGCTGTGGGGAAAAAGGAACTCTCCTGCACTGCTGGTGGGAGTGTAGACTGGTACAGCCTTTGTGGAGATCTGTCTGGAGCTTTCTCAAAAAGTTGGGACTGGAAATCCCATTTATTCCAGCTATTCCACTTCTAGGCATATTCCCAGAAGAACTGAAAGCATCATACCACATATGTGCACCTATGTTTATAGCAGCACAATTTGTAATCGCCAGATCTTGGAAACAACCCAAGTGCCCATCAACTGAGGAATGGATAAAAAAGTTGTGGTATTTCTATACAATGGAGTATTATTCAGCTATAAAGAAGGATCACATTGAGATATTTATCAATAAATGGGCACAGCTTGAGACCATACTCATAAGTGAAATAAATCAATCTCGCATGTGTGAATACCGAATAGTTTCCCTAATGTAAGTAATGATTCAAATATATAAAAATATGTGGTAATCATGATTCCCCATTAGGTGGCCTTGAAGCCTTATAAAGTTTTCACTCATTAATTAGAAAGGCTTTATTCTGGGCTTCTTGATATGAAAATATTTGAAGCTAGAGTATATGAAGTTTTACCCAAATATTTCAAGGAAAAAGACACTATGGTAACTACTATTAAGTCAGGTTATAAGGTGGTGAAGTACTAGGTTATTGAAACAGTCATGCTGTGACCTCTATTGTTATATTGTTATGTCCTGTTTTATCTCAATCTCCCCCTTATTGTTTCAAAAAAAAAATTATTTAGTCATTTCTTATGTTTGTCTTAATTAAAGAAAAAATTCAAAAAAATTAGGATATATAAATAGTAACTCTTTTCGACTTCCTATTAACTTGTTTTGAAGTCCTGTAGTACTCCCACGATCTTGTTTTGACTGATTAGACTCTGTTCCATTCTATATGATAGTATCAAGTTTGAAGACATAGGCAACTACTTTGAAGACAATAAGATTCACTAAGATACCCATTCTGGTTTGACTATTGTCTTCTTTGGAAGTCCTGTAATGTTTACAATGCCTAAGTTTTATTGGTCTTGTTCTCTACTGTTTTGTCCAACTTTATAATATCTAATAAGATAGACAATTCTTTTTAAGGAAACAAGGGACAACGTTGATAACCATTGTTGATAAACTTGTACTCTGTTCTACACCATGTGCTATGTCTATCCTTGGTATTGACTGACAGCTTTGTTTTGCCATATTTGACTGTATTCTCCCCCCCCCAAAGAAAGTAATAAGCACTAAGGAGTAATAAAATCCAAGATGTGTAAATTTTGTTGTAAAAAAGAGAGGGAAAAAAAAAAAAGAAAAAGAGCTCTAACGGATATAACAGCAAGTGTGTTTAAGGGTGTTAAATAGCTGACTTTATCAATGTTTTTGGAACATTGAACACAGCTGTTTGCAGTCTCCCTGTTTGAATGTCCACCTTGTGTTCTTTGATACTGTGATTTGAGGAACTATTTTCAAGAAAATAGTGTGTAATCTACTAGCAGGTAATTTCTTACTGTTATGGTGTTTTGTTTTGTTTTGTTTTGTAGTTCTGTATTGCGTGTACCCTTACGCCGCTTTGGTTTGTTTTGTGTTTTTCTCTTTTTCCTCTTAAATAAAAAAAAAAAAAACATAAAATAAAAAAATAAACTGTTACAGCTAAAAAAAAAAAAAATAATAACAGTTTTTAAATTATGAGTTACTGAACTATGTGATTAAATTTATCAAAAGATTACTCTCAAATCTATTACCATTGTTTTTAACATTAAGTTTAGCATGTGTTTCTACATTTTATATGTGTATGTTTAAAATTTAATGTTAATAGTGTATGCAGGACAGGCATGGTGGCTAATGCTTGTAATCCCAGCACTGGGGAGGCTGAAACAGGAGATCACTGAGAGTTCAAGGCCAGCAAGGGCTACAAAGTGAATTGAAAGCCAGCCTTAACTGCATAGCAAAACCCTGTCTAAATAAATAAATATATTAAATAAAATAAATTAGTAGTTTTTGCTTTAACTTTTGAATTTTAATGTTAATAATCTGTGCATTAATTTATAATCTTACGCAAAATTAGAAGTAACTTACAGTTCAGTTATCTAAATTGGAATAATTGACCAACATAAAGTTACCTAAACAAATGACTATAAGTAAGTTGTAGTAAACAAATACATTATAAACCATATTCCTTTTGAATTAAAAAAAATTATAACCATGTTTATTTGTCTTTCAGTAATCAGTATATTCATATTAGCTATCTATGAAAGAAATTATATTCTATCATTTGGACATACATAATTCATATGATAGTTTTCCATATATTAAAATAAGGAACCAGACTTGTGTAAAATACCAAAACATATAAAGTGCTACATATAACCACAATTGTTCTTTCTTTCTGAATCTCTGTAGTACATCAGGATTTTTCAAGATTTATAAGATTGTACATTTACACATTTATCTATCATATACTTAACTTCAAATACAAGAAATCCATTTATCAATTTGAATTAAAAATTAGGTCTACTTGACATAAGTCAAAATAGAATAAAATACTGTTACACTATTAAACACTCAATTCTTAAGATTTCTCTATGTATTAACTCGAAATCTTTGGTATTATGCAGAAATCTCTACTTGCCTATTTAACATTAATAAAAAATATTTACTCTTGACATTCAAATTTTCAACACACTTAAAATAATTTCTTCAGTAACACTTCTTTTCTGAGGAAGGAAATGATTCACATAGTTCTGTTCATCCATATACTGACAAAAATAAAGAAACCACATTGTATTTTTCAGAATATGACAGATCAGGAGGTCCCTTTAATGACTGTACCTCTAAAAACAACTGAAATTCTGAATAAAACAGTTAGCTTTTGCCATAACTAAAAATTCACATAGGCTCATTATTCTGTTCTTCCACATTTCTAGGCTATAAGGAAAACTGCCTGTCTGAAATAAAATCAGAAAAGAAAAAATTTTTTAAATCCATTCCTAGAGGTTTTGAACTGAATTCATACTACTTTATGTAGTCCAAAAATTCTCAAATTCCTGAGCTAGTAATATCCCCAAGAACCTGGGAAAAATAAATGTGAATCTGTTCTACCAGAACCTACCTTTGATCCATGCTTTCAATATCCCTGTACACATTCCAAGAAAAATATAAACTTATCATGTCAACAAAAATAATAACAACAACTAAATATACAGTGCAAAGAAATAAAGCACTATGAACAAAAGCCAAAAGAACTGTTAGTCAACAAAGATTTACTGTATTAAAATTAGAAACAATACAAAATGTGACTATAATATAGTTTAAGAATAGTGTTGAATGTAAGAACAGATTAAAAATCAAGAAATTCTAGAAGGTAAATTCTAGAATGATTTCTAGAATTAAAAAAAAAAACCCGGTACCGATAAAAATGAAAAAGACAAAAAAAAAAAAAAATTGCTGAACTTAAAAGTACAGACTTAATGTCAGACAAACTATACATGAAGAAAACACTGCCACACTAAAATATTTGAAAAAGCCAGAGTGCAATATTGAAAGAAGAAAAAAGTCAATCAGGAGTTAAGAGACACAGTGTGGTGTATGAAAATACTAATTAAACTAACACTGCCCTGAAACATGAAGAAATGTTAATGAAGCCAAATGGAAAAGCCAAGATTATACTACCCTAAACTATTTGTTATGATGAAACCAACATCTCAACTCATGTGAAGGATTAGCATCTCAATTTATTGGATATTCAAATGTTACTGGATGGAATATTCTATAAACATCTGAATATTCTATAAACATTCTATAAACATCTAAAAATCCATGTGACCTATAATGTTGTTTATTGCTGATGTTTCTTTGTTAATTTTTTGTTTGAGCACTAGAGTGAAAATGAAGTAAAAAAGTCTTACTATGATTACATTGGAACCTACATGTCCCTTTATGTTGAGTAGTGTATGTTTTATAAAATTCAGTAGACCAATGTTTGGTACCTATATATTTATAACTATTACATCTTCTTGGTAGATTGTTCAGTTTACAGTATATAGTGGTGCTCTAATTTTGTCCTGAAGTTTGCTTTGTCATATATGAATATGGCTACTCTTTGCTTTCTGTCCTTTGTCTATATATGTCTTTGCAAATAAGGTGTGTTTTTTGTAAGTTTATAGTTAAAGTTAAGAAACAAGAATGATTTAGTCTGTCAAATGTGAAAACATTCAAACTGGATTAAAAACATAAAAATTCAAATAGGAAAAATTCTAATATAACCTGGTTCTAAAGAATCTTTCATGTGATTTGAAATTCAGAAGCAATAAGGGACTATTAGTAAGTACAACTTTTAATAGAACACAGCCATATCCATTCATTTCTGTATTGTGTATGGCTGCTTTTGTGCTACAAAAACAATTTGGCGGTTACAACAGAAACACACAATAGGGTCTGTGAATTCAAAATATCTGGCCATTTTAAAAAATGTGTTTTCAACATCTGCTTTAAACTGTCAATTTTGTTTGCAATACTTAATAGAATTTGACATTTTCAGTTGTAATTTACACAGCTCCGTTAATTTCTTCAGGTATATCAAATTTCTGCCCGTATTAGTGCTGCTTCAAGAACCTTTACTATTCTTTGATAGCTTAACTAGGAAGATTTTTGTCTTAGTTTCTCATCATTAGGACACAATAAATTAAAAGAAGAAAGGCTAATTTTGCATATAGCTGGTAGAGGCTCCCGTCCATAGTCAGCTGGCTCCAAGGTATGGTGGCAGGGCAGAGGGGCACAGCAGAAGAGAAAGAGCTCATGGCGTGGCAAGCAGGACGCAGGGCGTGTTCAGGGAGGAGGAGGAGGAAGAGAAGAGATATATGCAATATGGCCTTCCCAGCCATACCCACACTGACTCCCGTCTTCTCTTCAGGTTTCCCCTCCCGACATCATACCTAGCTATAATCTCATCTGTGGGCTAATCTAGTGATGAATATCATATACTAAAGGTCCACTCACCTTTCAAAAGTCCCGCCTACGAGCACATGAGGCTCTGGGAGGAACACTAGATATAACCATAAGAATCTTTTACTTCTCCTTCATTTTAGAAATATGTTTTCCTAAACAAAGAATTAAAGGGTTATTTTTCCTTTTATCATTTTAAACTTTTCATTTTGTTGTGTTCAGACTTGTGTAGTTTCTAAAGAGGTCTACTATATTTATTATTATTCTTTTTAAAATTATGTCTTTTTTAAATTATGGCCTGGCATACTGGTATACACCTATAATCCACTCAGGAGGCTGACGCAGGAGGATTGTTGTGAGTTCGAGACCAGCCTGGGCTACAAAGTGGGCTCAAGGCCAGCCTGAACTGCATAGTGAGATCTTGTCTAAAAATGGGGGAAAAAAGACTCTGGTTGCCTTCAAATTTTTCTCATTTTCAACTTAAATATTATACATCTAGGAAACAAGAGTATGGAGGAGGGAAACGGAGAGAGACAGACAGACAGACAGACAGACAGAAAGAAAGAAAGAAAGAAAGAGAGACATCATTCTGCTTGGAGTTCTGAGTTTCTAGATCTGTGGATTGGTTTCTCTTGTTTTTTTTTTTTTTTTTTTTTTTAGAAAATTCATGGCCAAAATATTCTTGTACCTAACCAGCATCCATTTCTGTAATACCTGCTACCTAAGAGGCTGAGGCAAGTGGATAACTTGTATTGAAAAGGAGCCAGAAGGTATAAATGAAACGAGACTGACAGAATATTACTAATTGCTAAAGCTAGGTGACAGATAATAATGGTTCTTTATACTGTCCCCTCTACTTCTGTGTGCTGGAAAATCATCATAGTAAATTTTTTGCTTTGCCTTAGAGTCCTATGTTGGTAAGAATGTGAGGAAACAGGTATTTTATATTGCTCACAAGAATGTAATCTAGTTTAAGGTTTAAAAAGGAAATTTGGCAGAATCTACCAAAAATGAAAAATCTCATATTCTTAGATCTAGCAGTTCTCCTAGGATATATCTTGGCTATACAAATAACTTACATATCCCATTCACATTCTATAATACAACAGGTTTCCTGTATCAAAGCTGTATAAATATATTTCTACAAAAGCTATTCATATAAAGTAATTCATTAAATAATCGCTAATAATAGTAAATAATCAGAACAAAAACTATTCATTAGTTAGAAACTAATTAATTTTTTTTTTTTTTTTGTACCAGGGATTGGATTCATATGACCTTGCACTTGCCAGACAGGTGCTTACTCCTCTGAGCTAAATCCTGATCCCAGGAGCTAATTAATTTTTGATATACCCATAATACTACTTCAGAACCAACTTTATGACTGATGAAATTGTTAAATGAAGGATACCCAAATTAAAAGAAGAAAGAAGTACAAAATAATGTGAATAATGTTAGTATTTGTCTACAAAGTATCTCTGGATGGAAACTCAAGAAAATAATTAAACTAGGGGGCAGCCAGATATAGAAGGTGAGGGTATCTCAATATATATTAATCATACTTTAAAAATTTCAAACCATTAATATATATAGTCTACATAAAATTTTAATCAAAAGAGAAGTTATAGTTGGCTTTGTTAGGTTTGGCTAAAAGGAGGCAAAACTGAAAAACTAGAAGTCAGGAGGCAGAGAGAAATACAGGTTACTGTCCTTTGCTCTCGGTTTAAGGATCCCCTATAACAGTTATATCTCTTCAGAAATTCCCTTTCACATTATCAGTGCTGCTTCCCCTCATCAGCTATCACCGGTCTCTGGGCTCTAATAATTCCCCTGCTTTGTCTTCCTTTTCCAGAGCTAATAACTTGCTATAGTTGTTTGTATCTTGGATCATTACCCTCTGTTTCTAGATCTTTAGTAATCTTTTAATAATCTTTAATAATCTTTGAAAGTGGTCCTAAAATAAAATTCCCTCTAATAAATTATCTAGCATGGCTTACATTTTCCTAATTAGATCTTATCAAAAAGAAAAAAAGTGACTGTATTAAAGGTTATTTCTATAGAACACGAAGGATCCAATTCCTAAAATTAGAAAGGATAATTTTTCAGTGTCAAGGTTTAAGAACACTGTGGCCTATACACTTCAACAAACTAAGTTTCAAACATATGTATGTGTGTGTGTGTCTCATTTGTTCATTTTTCTTTCTTCATGTCACACTGGAAACTGACAGTATGTCATGGTCTACTTCTATGAATTAAAAATGTTAGTGGAAAAGAAGCAGAAATTAAAAGGATCAGATATATAGTTTCGGTGAGCTGACAATACAGAATAAGTCATTCAAATATCAGAAAAATTCAAATATGAATTTATACTATGATCAATACTTTGTCTAATAAGTTGATCATTCTAGTATAGAGTTTACTACTTTTTCAATTCAATTTTTGTGCATTCATGCTGACCAAGAAAATTACCAAACTTTCTTTAGTTATATTAAAAAAATGAATATTATTTTTTAGGTAAATATATCCCTCTGAATTCTGACATATACTAATGTGGCTGAAAACTTGAGTATATCTCATTATTATATCACTTTCCATCCTCACCAAAACAAAAGTATCAATGGACTATTCCTCTTTTTGCCCATAAAACTACTTTATCAAATTAACACAAGATACAATAAATACCAGAAGTACAGAGATAAAGATGCTATCATAACTTACACTACATGAAATTGTTTCTAACTACATGAATTATTTCCTACTAAAACCAACATAAACAAAAAGTAGACAGGTTTGTCTAATACTAACTTTATTGGGCTGGGGAAGTAGCTCAGTGGTAAAACACTTGCCCTAATATTGACATTAGCTACAACAAATTATGGAAACAAAACATTCTAATATAATGGTAAAGAACAAAACAGTGTTGATGAGATTTAGCAAGACAATGGAATTACGGCAAACAATTACCCCCAAAAAGAACATCTCTCTCTTTGCAAAGAGAGAAGATAAAAAGATACAAGAGTAGGCTGTATTTCTTTCTAAAATGAGTTAAGGCCACCTGCTATGAATGACTAGTAAAGATAATGGATTTGAAACTAGAAAAGATATTAAGGGCTGGTCAACAGAGTCAAAAAAAAAAAAAAAAAAAAAAAAAACCACAGTAAGAATGCCATATATAGTATTGTGGAGATAGGACATACTGATGTGGACTCCCCTCAGTTTACCCGTAAGCCATTCTTCCTTTGACTTCTAGCCTGTTTCCTACACTGGTTCAAGCCCAGATATATAAATGCAACCAAATAAAATTTGGTTGTAAGAGCAGAAAATGAAGTTAGGCACAAATGCTTTGTTTGTAATACAGTACAAACAATATAATCAGAAACAATTAGTATCTACCATTACATACACATTTTGGCAAAGGCCAAAAGTATCTAGCCACTCTAAATAAGAGACTAATTATATCTACTTAGCTCCATGAAAAAGAAGTCTTTGATCTTCTAAACAACTTGACATTTTAAGATAAACAACTTTTAGTCTTTGCTACTGCATATACAAATGCTCCTAGCTGAACTAGTTCATTCCTCCAGAGATACTTTGAACTTAAAGCTGTCAGGCGAACACCTCTGCCCAGAATTGTGAAATCTATAACTATTTACTTTCATTAAGACAAAAATGTCTGGGACAGCAGCATTGAAATTTGCTTATATTTTACATAAAATTGGTATATTCTGTTTTTTCTGCTCAAAGGTTCCACGCAGTTTCAAAATACAGTATTTAGCTTTATTTTTAGGGTGAAACTTAGAAATCAGAATTTATACAATCTAAAAACAAAAAAAAAAAAAAAAATCAAAACTTAGATTGGCAAACATCTCCCCGCTTCCAAATCATCAGTTAAAGAATGAATTAAATTTCATTTTTAATTCAAATACCTACCTAAATACAGAGAAAAATTTCATTTCTTTAGAAAATACAGCTTACAAAGACAGTCATCCCACTTTAAGTTAGATAATATTATAATTAACTTATTTAAGACAGTTGTCTCCATGACTTAATTTTCAAAACATCTGAAAAAACAAGCATGAAGAGTCACCTTTCTTTGTCTATATAATGAATGGCTTATCAATGTTTTCATAGTTTTTAATATAGTGAAAACATAGTTTAACTATGTTAACATAATTTTAGCATAGTTTTTAGAACCCCTAAGTCCATAAAAGACAGATCTTCACATACATTTATAAGGCATGTATAAACTTTCATGAAAGTGGATATATACACCAGAACATGGCCAGAAAATATATTAACCTATATGTTGTACATGTCACATGTATTTTATATGTATGTATAGTAATTACATACTTTTTATGGCTTGTGTCTAGATGCCCCCCCCCCAAAGCCTCATACAGTCATAGGTAAGGCTTTGATTCATGGTACAACACAAGGACTAAGGGTGTGAGTGCTACCCACCCTACATAGCCTGAATAAAATATAAGGGCCAGAAAGAGCTGCGGTCACCCCTTGTTGCTTCGGTACATTTTTCCCACCATGAAATGTTTCTGCTTTGCAGTGCTTGTCTGTCATGTCACCCTGGCTTGGAGCTGACTATGGAATGAAACCTCTACGTAGAATCTGTGGATCAAATAAACTTTTCCCCCTTTATATTTGGGTATCAGGCATTTTGTCTCAGCAACGTGAGGAAAGTAACAAAGACATTTATTTAGACAAAATGTTAAACATTATGTGATAAATTCTTTAACTCATTTATCTACTTTTTAATATCAAGTATATAAAAATATTAAATACATGATATAAATCATATAAAATTTCTACAGATACTGAATATAATTGTTATATTCTGACTTCCTGTCCAAGTGTCTTGACTGTTCTATTTGTTTTCCTTAAAAGGTTCTTCTGCTCCTTCATGAGTGTTATTCCTAACATTCCTTCATAGCTCAGCAAATAGCTCACTCAGAAATTTTCCCTAATATTTTAGACCAGGTCAAGTTCTCTGTCATACTCTTTAATTATACACTGTCATGTAAATTGCAATTACACAGTAACATGATGCTTATTTAAGTATCTTTTAGCTCTGGAAGGTCTTTGAGAACATGACTTATCTATTTTATTTCCTATTTATTCCTAGACCGAATGTAGAGTTTCACAAAAAAAAATAAATGAACAAATAATTATGGAATGTTAGAATAATTTTCCGGTTATTTATTTAAGTAAATTGTGATCATAGACTTATTAGTCTTAAAAGAAGCACTGTACTGCTACTTCCTCATTTTTTCTTCTGGTATACAAAATATTGCTCACTTTTCTGTTCACGTAAGTTCAAATAATGCAAACAGTTTTCCTTTTAATATATATACATACCGAGGATTGAGCTCACAACCTTGCATTTGCCACTGAACTGAATCTCCAACCCCCAGTTTTCCTTCTAAGAACATTACTATTTAACAAGTAATCTAGATAACTAATTTCTTTAACTTACCATCCCCAATCTTATATAATATTTGATTCTGCTTAAAATACTTATTGCTTATAAATTTCTTTCAATACTTATTTTATTTTCCTAAAAAATCAGCAGAGAATAGCTAAAACTGTTTAGTAGCCTGAAATATAAAAAATTCCTTATAGGGAACATCTATTTTCCCTAGCCAGTTTTCTTTCATATTGCCTCATATATTTCTTGAGGAATTAAGGATCTGTCCAATATAACCATCATTCTGATAGAGCTGCCGATATAGTATCCTTCTTTTCTCTAGTCATGGAGGACTGTCATCGACTGAGCCAAAAACCTTACCACATTCTATTCAAAACAGTCACTAATCCAAATGCTGGACACATAAGCCAGGTTGGATCAGAGATCTTTCCAAGATGTTTTTGGGAATGAAGTGGTGATGGTCATGGTGGTAGTAGGATTCTTCTCCCTTGGTTAATAAACTAAGCTCAACCTAAAACTGTTGGCCCCTCTGAAAGAAAGAGTTAAGGGAAAAGAAAAAAGATGCAAAGAGAGAACAGTCAGAAAGTATTTTCAGAAAATCGTTAAACAAGTTCTGGTCCTTGCTTTTCTCTGGTGTAATGATTTATATCTAATAAAACTCCCCCACTTTTTTTTCCTTAGCTAACTTGAATAAGATTTTTCAATGACAAACAAAAAGTCCTAATAATTCCTGTCTTCCTTTTGGAATCACAACTTGAACACCAAAAAACATTTTTTAAAATAATATAGTTAAAAATTTGCCTTGCTTTTATAAATCTAAACATGACATTACATTCTAAACTTCTCTTTCTACAATTTTAAACATATACAAACAAATTTTTAAGGAACCACAATATACACAGACCCTTTTAAACTTTTTTAACTTATTTTACATCCTGAATAATTTCAACATTGCAACTTCTAATCTTCCTCCAAAACTATAAATTTTAACCATATTTTTATTATTTACACCTCAGTTTTGTATCTCATTTTATATAGCATGATGCTGATATGTTAATGTTATATTCCTGAAAATGTTACTTAGAGATTTTATATTCATTTTAAATTTTTTAGTTTTTAACTTTATCACTACCTTTCTAGAATACTTTCAGTTTGTTTTCATTGTGGATTTTTCATGTTGAATGTATTCTTCAATTATCTGACAATTCTTGAATATCCACTAATATTTAAAAATAAGGTCATATACTGGTAATTAGGAGCTCTAGGAGCATGTCTGGTGTTACTTGACTGATCAGTTTTTCTTTAGCATAATTAAGCAACAAGCCAGTGATTTCAATGAAGAATCCTTAAATGACAAAGTTTATGATACTGCTCCAGTATCACTGAATTTCTTTAGAGGAAAAGAAAGTAGTAATACTGTTTTACCCATCCCGTCCTGGTTCTAAAGCCTGGTGATCAGTTTGAATGAAAAATATACAATTAAGTCCTTTATCTGCATTCTCCTAACTTCTCTTCTCTACTCAGTATTTCCTATCTTGCATATTTACATTCTATATTTTCTGGGATGAGAAACCAAGGCAGACAGATTTCCTTATATAGACAAAGAACAATCGTGTTTTAGATACCACACAGTTTTTTAAAAAAATATTTTATGACTTATCAGTATGGACATACATAAATATATAAACAGTAAGTTTCACAAATACGACTTACTCATAGAGATACTCTGATACTTTTGTATAATACATAATTTCACAATCCACCACTGGCATAAGTGCACTGAGGCTAAATGAACGTAAGCAAATGAAGTTGGGACTTGCAGTATGTTTCACTCCCCGATCTGCTCCCTCAGGCTCAGAAAACTAAAGGTCTCTTTCATTAACTCATTGTCCTTCTCTATGAGCTTATCACTGTATAATTCTCTATTTTACTTCTTTACTATAATTTTAGAAGGCTCCTAGGAGGACAAAAACAAACAACACAAATATCTAGTTTATAATCTTCACATTTCTCCACGAGCATTTTAAAAAGGAATTTCCTAACCTCTTTTTGGTCTGCCTTAAGGTTTTTCTCTGCTAATTTTCATAGCTTCAACTGCTGTATTCTGGGACTTAGTATTAGAGCTTTCCAATGCACTCTGGAGAATTAAAAGCAAGTACCATAGTGAACACAAGAATCTGTGTATCACAATCCCATTTAACTATAAGACTAAAAAGAAAATTATGGTTAAATATTCAAAATTAAACTTAAATATTTAAAGGAAGAAGTAAAAATTTCTTTTTGAGGGAAGTCTTTAGAAAAGGTTTCTTTGTAAGAAGAAATAATCAAAAACCAATGCTGAAATACATCAAGACAAAGAAAGTGTTTATAAATAAAGAGTACTTACACTGCAAGACTACTCAAAACATACTGTACGTGCTCACATTCATCGGGGAATGACGCGCTGGCTGATGTAAAGCAGCAAAGTGCGGTCTGCAGAACCTGAAGCTGCGGCAAAGGGACCTGCCATCTTCCAGCGTAATCTTCAACCACCTGACAAGGAAGCGACCCAGAAAGTACATTACTCAAAGTGCTCGTAACTCTTCAAGTTTAAAAATGTAAATTAAACTATATTAAAATATTAGTTCAGCAACAAACAACAGATGAATCTGAAGAATGGGAAATTCTCATACTGTTTACTTCATGATATCTCTGAAAATACAATCAATTATCTTTGAAAATGTGGAAAAGAAGTACAGTACATGAATGACTGTAATGTTCACCTACCGAACCTTTACCTAATTTTGTTTTATTTTCTGAGATAGGATTTTACTATGTAGTTCCGGCTAGTCTTAAGCTCATTACGTAGTCCACGCTGGCCTCAAACTCTTGACAGTCCTCCTGCCTCAGCTTCCCAAGTGCTGAGATTACACATGTGCATCACCATTTTTTGTCCCCAAATTTTGTTACAAAAGTCTTTTACTTCCTATACCCAGCTTTCAATTGTATCTAGAAAGTAAAAAGAAATACAAGCTATGCTGGCCTCAAGTATCGTAACTCTTTTCAAACCACACATGAACAGAAAAATAAGAAAGTTAGATTAATAGTGGTTCCCTGTTCTAAAATTTTTCCTTCACTAGTCTGTGACTGGCTTTATTGTCTCCTTCAGGGCACCACACAACCTGGTTGTCACACAAAAAAATAGCTGTCTGACAGCCTTTCATTTTTCATTTCCAGTCCCAAATAGTTAGTCAACTAATTCATGTTTATTTATCATCTTACTCATTTCTTATTCACGGATTAGGTTTATTTCCTCAGAAGAGAAGCTTTCTATTTCCCTAGGTTTTGTTAGTAGTTTCCCTCATTCACCAGGAGTCAGCTACCACTTTGTCACGTCTACCTGAGTCCAAACCTAACATAATGGAAGTCTTTCTGGGCAATACATTGGTTGTATTACCCTTGAAGGGATGACAAAAAAAAAAAAAAAAAAAAAAAAAGTGAAATTTATGAGTATTTTACACTGTATAATATCAAGTCAGGCGTTGCTAATGCATTATACCACCATTTCTCCTTGAAAAAATTTCCTTAACATATAAAGCGATTATATGGCAGTGCCCTATTACTTGGAAAGTTTTCT